CATTCTTTAAAGCATTGAGAACCCCTAACAGTAAACTGTTTGGGGAATTACTGGAACATCAATTCGATGATTTACTATGACTTACACTTGGAGTACTGGCTAATCTCTCTGCGAACCAGAACCCAAGAGAGCTTACCTGGTTTGGCAGTCCTTCTCAAACTCCTCACCACGTAGCATGGCCACACCTCAAGCGGGTTCAGTTACTGTAGCTTGAAGCAGCCATGCGGCCCGGCCATGCCAAAGAAAAAGCTTTCTGCCACAAATCAAAAGGCCAGCAAAAGAATCAGGCTTTTCCTACCCAAGCGGATCTAATGTTGTGGAACCCTCGCTGATGCCATTGATCGGTTCCAGTCCTACTCTCAGATGCATCAGGTTCGTGATATGCTTGAGACAAGCTGATACCATGGGAAAAAAGAATACAAGAATATCTTTGTCTACACGTTTGTAAACTAAAAGGTAAACTCAAAGAGTCATGAAGCTGTCGTCTAAGCACAGCCCTGAAGTCTGGAATTACATTACCAAGGCAAGCTTGAGGCATCCTTTGGATTGCCAGACTTGACCCTTTGACCAGCAAGCAAACTGGGCGTTCTGCACCGTGTTCAGCTAAACCAGTCATTCATGCCAAAAAACGCTTGCTTGGCAAGCTTGGCAAGCACACTAACTCTCGGCAACCGACATGCAGGTCTTGTGGCAGCTAAACTCGGCCTACAAGTTTGTTTGGACCTCAGCCGTTGAACTAAGGCCGTGTTCAAAAGCCACAATGCCCACAAGTTGCTAAGCATGGCATTATCACTGCGCAGAACTGCCACTGGCCACTCGCTTTGCCACTTTACACAGCTGTGTAGAGTGATTCACAGCCACCTCCTGCTATGAAAACAGAATCCAACTAGCATTAAAGCTCTTCTCAATGGTCCCTCAAATGAACGACGACGAAACCTGTGCATCATCCTTCTTTTCTTCTTCTTGTGTTGCCGTGTGCTCCGCTGCTGGAGCTGATTCTTCCCCCGTCTTTTCCTCACCTTCCACTGGGGCTGCTGCCTCCTCCTTCTCTGCAGCAGGTGTTGGCGCCTCCTCTGCAGCCGGTGCTGCTGGTTCGTCTTCCGTCTTCTCCTCTTTCACTGGGGCTGCTGCCACCTCCTTCTCTTGCGCAGCAGGTGCTGGCACCTCCTCTCCAGCCGGTGCTGCTGGTTCGGCTTCCTTCTTCTCCTCTTCCACTGGGGCTGCTGCCTCCTCCGTCTCTTCTGCAGCAGGTGCTGGCGCCTCCTCACCAGCCTGTGCTGCTGGTTCGTCTTCCTTCTTCTCCTCTTCCGTTGGGGCTGCGGCCTTCTCCTTCTCTTCTGCAGCAGGTGCTGGCACCTCCTCTGCAGCCTGTGCTGCTGGTTCGTCTTCCTTCTTCTCCTCTTCCACTGGGGCTGCTGCCTCCTCCGTCTCTTCTGCAGCAGGTGCTGGCGCCTCCTCACCAGCCTGTGCTGCTGGCTCGTCCTCCTTCTTCTCCTCTTCCGTTGGGGCTGCTGCCTCCTCCTTCTCTTCTGCAGCAGGTGCTGGCACCTCCTCTGCAGCCTGTGCTGCTGGTTCGTTTTCCTTCTTCTCCTCTTCCACTGGGGCTGCTGCTGTCTCCTCCTTCTTTTCATCAGCAGGTGCAGATGTGTCGTCTGCTGCCTGCCCTGCTGCTGGTGGTTCCTCCTTTTTGCCTTCTTCCACCTCTGGAACTTCTGCCGGCTCCGCAGCGGGAGGAGCTTCTGCTGATACTTCTTGTGCGACATCCTGTTCCTGTGCAGCCGGAGGTGCCACCGCGGCAGCAGCTTGTGCTGCTTGCTCGGCAATTGCATCTCTTGTAACTGCAACTGCCTCTCCGGCCACAGTTGCAGCATTTGAAGCAGCATCCTTGATACCTTCAACCACCGCCTCTTTGCTTGGAGCATTTGCAACCTTTGTCAGCAACAGGAAAATACAAAAAGTTTCTTGAACTCCGTCTAAACACCTACGCGAGTAGAATAGGGCTTTTGTGAAAGCAATTACGAAGAAGACTGAGCTTGCTTGTGCTTCTGTGCGAAAGCCAAGATACCATCTCTTGAGCTTTTGTTGCTGCGCTGTCTGCAACGTTCTTCGCACTGTCCACCATCTCTCCCACGCTGGGAACATTTGCAACCTCAGCTTCGAGCAGCCAAAGGGGCCGTTGAAACATTTCTGACTTGCCTTGCTGTTGAGCTGCTGCCGCATTCACGGACTCTGACGCTGCAGTGTAGGCATTGGAGATGTGCCCAGAGACTGAGCCTTTGGCAATGTCACAAAGCTGTTTTCCCTAGTGAAGACACCCAAATTGGAATCCAAAGCCTGACCAAGAAAGGGACCCCCAAGTGCCAGTAGAAACCTCGACCGGCAAGGAGCGGTCCCAAGGACCATGCCGAATGGAATCATTCACTCGCGCAATGCGGTGTACACAATGCAGCCATGGTCACTCGGCTATTTGGTCCAAAGAAGTGATTGATCACAAACTCCTGAACCGCAGAGGAACTAAAGAAAACAAAAGAAAACAGGTGAAGCCAATGAAATAGACGCCAGTTGTCTCGTGCAACACCTACATTTTGCTCCTGGTAATCAATCATTCCATCGCCATCTGAATCAGCTGCCTTCGGAAGAGTCTAAGCCAAAGTGTGATTATTTTCGAGGAGTCATGATAGCAAAGGTATAAATGTACTATTGACATAAGCATGCTCTTTTCAGAGTCAAGCCCGACTCTTTCGGTTCTGCATGTGTGTATGAAGGTTGTTTGCCTGAAAATGTCTAGCTTGCTTCGTAGCACAAATAACAACGCGATTCTGAATTGTGGTGCAGAATCACGATTCTCATCCGAGCTCGGCCTTCATCATTCTGTCGAGCTCAGCCTCCGTCAGCTTGTCACCCTGGCAGGAACAACATCACCCTTACTGGCTCTTCGTTACATAGCAACGTGCGCAGCACTTTCCCAGCACAGCATATTGTAATATAACTAAACGGATGTCGCCTGTGATGTCATGATATGGCTCAGCATCTCCTTGCTGATCTTGCCCGTGCCTCTACACGAAGCTCAGCAGGATGCAGGTATTCCTTCTTTCCTGCTGCCTTCTGCAAAAAAGAACCTTTCTGCAAATTGTTGACATGCAAGATCTGCGGCGACACATCATCAAACACATGCCTTCGGTGTCAAACACCTTGAAGCAATCTGTGAGGACTTTGACTTGATCGTTTTGCAGCCATTCCGACAGTCTGGGCTCCATCAAGCCACGAAACTCGTCAAACCTGACTTGAAATTGTTCAAGCAGCAAAAGAAGAACGTTCAGTGCAAGAAACCTGGCACCACTTTCAAATTGAAATGACAGAGGTCATACACCGGCAAGTGGTGCGTCTGGCGCATCCACTGCCCCCGCACGAGACAAACCGATTTGCAACCAAGGCACTCGAGCTTTCCGTTCTTGTTCTCATCCACACTTTCCATTGCAGCCACTACCTCTTGAGGGCTCAGTTGCTTGCACCCCCTGTGAAATTGACAACTCACAGACCCTTCGCCTCCGCTTCTGTGGGGTTCATGCCCAGCAAACGCATACATTTCCTCACTTCACCATGAACTCAGGCTTGGTGAGGACGTGGTGAAATTCCACAGCAAAAGAAAGCGCTACCCAGCTCGCGAAATTCCAACTCAGTCTCCCCAATTCATTCACATCAATGCTGCCACTCTTGTCAGCATCACAGCGATTGAACACTGCCTGGACAGAAAAGGAAGGTGACCACCAAATACCAAATAAATCAGCCTTCTCGTTGAACACTTACCGGCGAAAGGCGCACGAAGCTTCTTTCCAAAAGGCACCGCTATCGCCTCGCCGCGCCTGGATCGCTTCCCCGTGGTCGAGGCTTGCGACCATGCCTGAGTCCTCAAGCAACGATGGCAACTTAAGGACACCGCCGACACCACTCTCAAAAGCATCACTCTCATCTCTGTAGACACCAATGCAACGCACATTGAAGACATACCACAAACATTGTTGGAATAAGCGCATCAGCCTCTCCTTGAACAAGGGTCCAAGTCTGAGGCACAAATCAACCCATCTGCGAAGTACCAGGAGCCGAGGTGGCTTGAACCGACACCCCAGGCCGGAAAATTCTTACGGCAAAGCACCAAAAGTTGAACAACACAACTCTGCTTTGCCCCGGCAAGGGCCCTCAACCGAAAACTCTAAAGCAATCTTTGAGGACCCCACTTTCACCAGACAATTGCACCCGTGTTAAGGCCTGAATACCATCAAATTATGCATCTCAAAATCATGTCCCAACATCAACGGCCTGCTGATATGCTGCATTGGCCTGGCGGTCATGATCCCAAAAATGCGCAATCTGGATTTCACAATCGGCGCAATCCATCTTGAAATCATTCTGTCTTTACCAAGCGCTTGGTGCCCAAAGTTCGAACAAAGCACCTTTTGGACCAGTCTTGCCACACTCCAGTCTGGACTCGTAAGCCTGACGAGAAGCCGGCGAAAGTGCTATCACCAGTTGCACCGAAGAATAGCCTGTAACTCAGTGGAACCACAACGAAGCTGTAGATATATGGCCTCAAGAACGTCGAGGACATCAACAAGCTAAAATGATGCTCATGGCACTGAGGAAGAAGCAAAAACACTGCAAATAGACCACGGCGTTGATACCTGTACTTTGCACATTCATCCAGGCTACCCTGGAACCCACATGTTCACCCTGCGCTGTCATCGGTCAGGAATCTGGATTCCTAAACATCGCTTCTTAGTTGCAAGCAATGCCCAGGTTGAAAACGATGCCATCATCACCTCAGAAAATTTGTCATGGGATGGTCATCCCAATACAAGGCAGTCCTTTCTCTGAGTTCTCACAAAAGTTGCTTTCTCTGACAAGCGACACCCGACATGCCACTGATCAAAACACCTGTGAGCGCATCACAACCAGACCTGACCAAGCACATCATTGTTGAATCAAAGAGACCAGCCCGGCCCATGCTTTAGAAATGTCACACGTACATGTGCAGGTAGAAGACAAAAGCTGCCTCACATCGGAACAAATGCGTACATCTGGATCCTGTATTCGAGCGGTGCCATGATGTTGCAACTTGTAGTAGTTCCTGACGAGAAATGGTCTCGAGGCATTAATGTTTCCCAATGAGCACCCGCCAATGTGCCCCAGTATTGCAACTTGATACCTGTACTTCTAAGTTCAATACATGTTCGAGAAGTAGCTTCGCCTCAGACGCCGAAGCTCACAACTTTGGTCAGCTGTCTATCACTCCGAACTTGATCTCGAAAATAAGAGAAACAAAATGCACAAAACTAAATCCTTAGCTCAAACCTTCAACTTTTCGTATCAAGCGAAGCAAAGCAAAGCATTCGTAGCTCTACCATGGAGGGTTCACCGGAGAAGGCTTTCCTTGACGGGCCCGAGCTGCCTTTGCTACGAGTATATAGCTACCTAGCTACCCGGGTGATGCCATGAAAAGGGCCTGCCCACTCAATTGGACAAAACGGAAAGGAAAACATACTCAAGAAGAAAGGTGTCATGTGTCATCGTCCAGGTTGCAAGAGGCTAGATGTGGCAGCATTTCGCCACAGCATTGACACTCTTGCCTGAACGAAACTGGGGAAACTGCACAATCCTTCAAGTTTGGGAGTTCGCCGCGTTCGCCTGCATGTACTTGGTGGTCTGGGAGAGCATCGCACTGGCCAGAATTGCTAAAGGAAATTTGCCGAGCGCTTTCATCCACCTCGCTCATCGAAAGCAGAAACAAAATGCAGCTTGAATGTGTGTGTGTTTGTGTTTCTTTCAAAAGCCCGCTCTTCTTACGTTGTTACGTAGGCGCCTACTTAATTAAGTAAGGGAGCCAACTCCTAGCTAGGACGCAGGATAGCTCAAGCTTCTTCGAGGGCGGGGGGGCAGCTTCCTTGAAGAAGTGCACGGACTAATGATCTGGTTCCTAAGTATTTAGGGAAACTTTACGAAGTTGCTCTTGAGGCCCCGACTCTCGCCAACGGCCCAAATTCTGACCAGTGACAAACTCCCGCATCAACCAAGCCTGCAGGACATCTGAATTTGGACCAAATATTTGGCAGCAAAAAAGCACAGGAAAAACGAGATCCAGCCCAGCAGGAGCCAAGCAACCTTGTACAGCATGAGCCAAGCATTGAGACCAGACGCAACAAACAGCACAATGACCTCAGGTCCTTCACGCCAGGTGTCTCTCGTAAAGGCCAAGGGTGCTTTATATAAACACGATCATTCAGAATACATCAACAAGTATATGAGTGGTATGTGACTCCCACAAATCCACACAAATGTGCTCCTGCGGCAAAGCGCCCAGCTGTGTGTAAGAGCTCCGTGAAATGCTTCCGTTTGGTCCTGAACAAATGCTTGACGTGCCAAACTGCACTCATTGAATTATCTCCAAGATGAGGCCAGCTCAAATTTCGACGGGATGTGCTCGGAACTATCGAATCTTCAGAGCACCTTCATTCATGAATGAACTGCTTTTGACAGCCAAAATGCTCCGCCAACTCAAGAAAAAAACAGTTGCAAGTCCCAACGTAATCGTGAGCCTGGCTCCTTTCCTTCTTCGAGCCGCCAAGAAAGCAGCGGCACTAGCAGCGGCCTCATGCGCAACTGTGTGCATATAACATAGCAGCTACAAGTGGTCATAATACCAAGTTAGACCCGCACGATTGCAGCAATCAAAGTTCGCCAAAACTTTGTGGCCTGGCAAAAGGAGCAAATGCTGGAAACTTATTGGATGCAAGCATGCTCTTTCAACAAAGTGGGCCTTTGAAAAGCCTGCACGTATGATGATGGCCTTGCCAAGCAACATCACATCAGAAATCCAAAAGTCCGCTAAGCACGAGGCTCATCGCCTTCACAAGCCATAAGCCGCGGCCGTGGATGGGCCTCAAAATAGATGGACCGCAAAAAAGAGAAGGGGCATTAATGAGTGGAACTGAGATTTGCACAAATGCTGAGCTAAATGCTCTCTACCAGGCACCTTTCATGCTCACCAGTCTCTATGCACTGGTACTCACAAGTGACTGACAAGCTTGCCTCATCCATTCAGGTCAGTAATCAATCAATGATCTTGATCACGCCATTGCAATCGCTGGCAGGAGTATCATAAATAAAATCGGAACTATAAGCCAGGCTTGAGATTTTGAGGCAACAAAGTTCTTCCCTCCAGAGAAGCTGGGCCGCATGATGTTCAAGTGCTCAAGAGTCTATGTGTCTTTTTGCCCGAATCAATGCAGTCACCGGTCAAACTTTCATGATTGCTTGCTTGAAAAACCTAGCACATGACTTGAAAAATAGGGACAATGTTACAATGGTTGAAAGAACTAGTTTGGCTGCCTTTTTGAAGGAAAACGCGTGTTTTATAAGAAAAGAGCTGGATCTATCCAGGTACTTGCTTCGGATGATGCGACTTTCACAGTCCGAGTGAAAGACATCAAAGCACCGCGCTCAATCCGGCAGAAGAAGGATCAAACGAAGGAAGGTTAATACTTGTTACTAGTAGCTTCTAGCTACTAGTAGTAATGCCCTTGCTACTAGTAGCGATGCCCTTTGCTCCTTGTACGAAGGAAGGTTAATAACGACCAAACTGAGCAATTAAGAAAGCTGTACGGATGAGTTGTTCACGTCCGATTGGGGCTTTCTCTCACCTGAAAATGAGTCTTGAGAGAACATCAGGTTTGCATACAATACACCCAGAAGAAAGATACTTTCCTTGAGACGTTTCTGTTTCTTGGTTTTCTTTCGACATGTTTTCCCTTTTCGGGGGGTTAGGCCCTAAGAAATCTGGCTGTAAGGGGAGCTGCAGAAGTGCGCGAGTTCTTAAAGGGGATTCAGTGTCACACTCTTACCTCCTCAAATGTCCCTCACCCCGATGTCTGTATAGAACTTACAAACTACTTGTGTATGTTTGGCAATTGCAATTCTGCAGTCGGTCGAGAAAATAATTCTGAACTGTCAGTTTTTTTCCCCAAGTACAAGCAATACCTGCAGCAATTTTTGCTGCACCGAGCTCCCATCAGACAATACATCAATGAGTGGTTCGCTCGTCAGTTTTGTGTGAGACGCCATGCTACGCCTACGACATGCCCGGAATGTCAGCCTCAGTTGGCCATTTCTTGAGGCAACAAAAGGTCTTGAGGTTGCGTTTCCCTAAACTTGAGAAACCAAATCATTTGTGCGAGCGCTTCTTCAAGAAAGCTCCCCCCGCGCCCTCACGAGGGGAGCTTCCTTGAAGAAGCGTGAGCTATCCTCCAGTTACTAGAAGCTAACTAGTCAGCCTTATTTAGTTATATAAGTAGGCGCCTAATCAAGTAAGGAGGCAGGGCCACAGGCTACAGTAAAAAGAATCACACATCGGGTGGTCTGGACTGAGTCTTAAACAATCGACTATGGAACTTTGCTCAGACCATCGTAGTTTGGTTTCCGCCACCTTTCCCGGTGCAACCGCTTTCTATGTATTCTCAAAAGCAGCTCGGGATGTCTTGAACCTCCAGATATGCCAAATTTCCCACCTTTAGGATAGGTCTTCTAGGTGGACAGGGCGGAACTTTTTGCATCTCTGGAGATTCTGGCTGGTCCTTTCCAAGACAGTCCAAGCTTCACAATCGATGATCTGCACATTGGGAATGAGGCAGGTTCCTCCAGGGTCACCCTGGTTGTTGTATATGTACTGCAAGGTGTCATAGGTGAACTCAAAAGACCAAGATCGAATATCCACCTGAAAGCCGAAACGTGTCGAAAGGCATCTTGTCTGCCTTTGTTCGAAAAGATCAAAAAAACAAAAAAACATGAATTGCAGGAAATACCGAACGAAGTATGGAGAAGCTCCAGTACAGACCAACCCCGGCTGCATAACGCAAAAACAGGAACAATACACCTAGGTTGCCCAAGTCCAGACCTGGAAGATCAGTGCGTACCTGCCCTCATACTCCATGAAATAGCAATTGCCGCGAACACCTTTCAGTGGGCCATGACCAATGCCCAACTTGTAGTAAGTGCCATTGATCGTGATGCTGTCCCCTAGGGCCACAAAGTTGTTGTAATAAGCCTCGCACTGCCTGAGATATGTATGTGTTTTTGGCAGAGTGATATAGCTTAGTTGATGAGCAATACGACAGTGCGGCAATTGACTCGAATAAAGAGATTGACATGGTTGTGTTTGTGCAGATCTTCATGGGTGGCCAACCCAATACGGCTTAGGATGAGAAATCTTTTCTACTAAGAGCATGCGTTTTCATCTCTGCTACGTAAAAAATACTACTCCTGCACTGTCACGCTCTAGCATGTATCCAGTATTCTGCATTTGCCTACCATTCATCTATTCCCGACATTTGCTGTGTGTACCTGAGAAGTGAGATGACGAAGCCAGCCTTCGTAGACATTCAGAACAACGTGCTGCAGTCAAGAAGCTCCAAGAAGCGATGTCAAAGTGTCCAACACTCTCGCGAAGACCGTCTGATAAGACCCTCTTCATTCGCAAGATTCATGTCAAATGCTCGAAGATGCATCTGCCGCGTCCTGCTTTGTCCAATGTCCCTTTCCCGCTTTTTGGCGGCGCAGTCTTCCACCTGCAGCCAAACAAAGCCCAAAAGGGCAGCAACAAAACTGTTCCTTAAGGTCTGTTCTGGGTAGAACCCGCATGTCTAAAGGTGCAAAGCGCAGAGAGGCACCAACCCAGAAATGCGGCTTAAGGGCCTTAAGGGTGTCGCTTCGGCTCTCTGATTGGTGGAACACACTGCGCTCGCAAGACTCAATCAAAACGTTCTGCCACGTCCTGCTTTGTTACGGGCCTTATCACCAGAACCCGCTCTTCGTGTCCTTCGTTGCCCGAGACGGCTCTCAAACAAAGCGCAAAGTGGCAGCAACCAAGCAACTTTGGCTCGTTGCATCTAGATCCACAGTCTTTCCACACTGGCATCGACAGCTCGTCTCAAGCAGCAACCAGCTCCGTTGGCCGTGTTTGCCCCCTCAAAGCCTGCCAAAACTCAGCTCAAGCGCAAGATTCAATCAATGTATGTGCTGGAAGATGCCTCTGCCATGTCCTGCTTTGTCACGGGTCTTATTGCTAGAGCCCGCTTTTCAGAGGTGACCTTTTCTGCCCCGAGACAGCCTTGAAACAAGGCGCAAAGGGCCGGGCAGAAAGACTCATGCTTCATGCTTAAGGTCTTTTGTGGGAGAACTTGGTGCTACAGTACCTCCAGTTGGCCTTACTGGACATGATGCTGTCCACTTGAGTGGTATCATGGCCACTCCTTATCCTCTTTCGCCCGCGCGCACGTCGCGCACATCACGCGGTCTTTTCGGGTCGCAAACGCTTGGTGTAAGAAAAGCCACGCAAGAAGGACATCCAGGAGATATGTGGGCCTTCCACTTCCACTGGATCAGGTGGGGTCACCCTCTATGTTTCTGAATCCAAAAAATTTGGAAAACTGTTGGTGCTGGCTTGTTTGCCCAGTTGCACCATGGACTTGTCTGACAAGTCTGCTGCAAAGCCACACTTGAAGAGGATCTCTCGAACCTCTTCGGCATCACTCGCATCACCAAGGCCCTTGTTGAGGTGCATTTTGGACACCCCCTTTGCTCGCTCTCCCCCGGCAGGTTTGGGTCACTGGCTGTCCCCCTGTATAACCCCCGAAATACTCACTCAGTTTGTTCACCCATCTAGCACTTAAGCCTAGCCTCTCGTCCGGCTTTCGTAACAATGTGTTTCCTCCTTTCGCTGCACTACTATCATCCAATCCACTAGGCGAAACTGTTGACGCGTAGGCCTTTGCTGGACTGAGTTCGGCTGCGCTTGATAAAACGATTTCATACCAACTATTTGCTTAATCCTTACTATATAGGTAGGAAATTGTGCCTGTGGAAACATATACAGTATCTTCAACAAAGAAAACCATTCCAAAAGTTCCAAATTAGTTCACTATGGGCAGACTTTTGGGAGACACGACCTCAAAAGGAGCTTCTTCCTACCACTCGAGATCCCCTGATGGCTAAGGCTTTCCAGCCAACTGACGCCCCTCACAATTTTGGTATGGCATATGTGAAGACAAGCGGCGCTCGTGTCGTGACGGTCGGATACTCCGTGGCACCAGCGGGGTAGGGGCAGGCCGATTCAGCATCCCAGTTGCCATAGTCATAGTAATCTCCAGGGCTGTTCAGAATGCCTTAGCTGGCTGCCTTGAACTTGCAATACCCAGCTGAGTTGCCCCCAAAGATGGTGCTCAAACGCTTAAACTTCTTTGGGTGCCACCATGCCACCGAAACAGAACAAAAGGCACCCCCACAACAACCTCACAAAGACATCCCAAGCGGTTAAAGAAAAATGCTCATGGTAAACCAACCATGTGGAGGATCCAGGGCCTAAGTTGAAAACCCTTCTGCTTACAAGTATGAAAACTGTCTGTTTAGCAAGTCTGGAACATAGGTGTTTGCAATCTGGAGGTTCAAGGCATGGATGGTGAGGGTCATCCACATAGTGGTAAGCCAAGACGCAGCTTGCCTCCTCGCTGTCATCCACATAGGAGACAGCATTAGAACTGCCTTACTTGGCCAACGATCCCAAATCGGCCTAAACTGCATTCCAAGAATCAGGGGAGTGGACCAACAACTCAATTTCAGAATGGCCTCCTCGAAAAGGACCGATCAGATTTCCAGACGGTTTCCTCCCATTACGCCTTTGTGATCATCCCAGGTCTGTGGTCATCATTGGTTGTGGTTGGCCAAGTGAATTTTCCAGCATGTCACCTAAGCATGGTGTATTGGTCAAGGGTCTCTTTAACATGACGGGGTCTAGTTGCCGGAACCTGCAAATATGCTAGCTAAATGCCTGCGAGCACCTCAAGAACAATCAATCAACTGAGCTGCATCTCGAGTCCAACTCCGTCAAAGGAGTCCCGGTGGAGTCCAGAGCAACTTGAACAACACCATCAGGATAGCCATAGGTCTTGTTGTAGGTACATGGCACGTAGCCCGAATCCTGAGGTCACAACTGTCGCGGCTATTTATACAATTACATCGATTTACTGATATTGATACCGAACTTTGTACCTTCGTGTCTTCTGTCTTCATGGCAAGCAATCAGGGTTTCCAAACATACATCAAGTCTCGCTAGTGTCGACACTCGGTGTGTCATCGTTGTTGCCGCCGCCGCCGCCGCCACCTCTTCTGCGCCGCTTGGTGTGTTTACGACCGCGGTCCCCACCCTGCCGCCTAAAGTGTTTGCGGCCATCATAATGGCCCCCGCGATGGTGCCGGGAAGCACGATGACCGCGATGCCAAGTCAGGAGATTCACAACTTCCTTGGCTAAATTTGGTTCCCCTCATTTGGGTCAAATCATAACACAAAGCCGCAGCAAATGTTTTTAGAACCTCCACAGCTAAAAAAGACTAGCTTAGATTGTGCTCATCATGGACATTCTCAACTGAATGGTGGAAAGGGCGATGACTCGATGACCGAAATATCGGGACGAAAACGGACAGTAGATCTTGACCATGTGTCTTTCAGGTCTACAAATCTACAACGCTTCGATTTTGGAGGGCAGGATATTTTTCCCACAAAAACGATGATTTGGAGTCTTGGTTGAGCTTCGGTGTCACAGTCCTGGCATATGGCCAGAGCCAAAGGCAAAAGGCAGAGCGAAATGGCAAGCATGGCCTTGAAAACTGTTGCCCTTGAGTTGCAAAATGCTAGCGTGACCATGTACTGGACGCAATGAGCAACGTTAGCATGGTTGCACTCCTTCAACCTCCGAAGTCGTTCGATTGCCTTGGAGTCTGGCATTCAAAGTCGTAACGTGACAATGCTTGACAGACCAACAAAGACATCCAAAATGAAGAATGCCAGAGAATGGATCGATTTCGTTGTTTCATTGCTTTATGCTGGCGTTGGTGTGATGCAAGTCTCCTAGGCTTAACGTGCACCCTCCTACTGTTGTGTGTCCGAAACCTTAAACTGTTGATCTAGTCTCACAAGTGCAAAAAAAAAGTGTCCACGTAGCTGAATGTGCTCAACCCAAAATGATCGCACAAGTCGGAAATCCAGAGCCTAGCTAAATGAGACATCTATATAGAAAAACCGGCTCTATCAGGAGAGACGAACTGCATGCCATCATCTGACTTTATGTTGTTCTTCCATATGTGCAAGGGGAAGAGCCTGGCAACCGTGCACAAAGTTGATCTGCATTACTTGAAAGTCGAATGTGTGTGTGTGCCCCTTGTAGTCACAGGGATCCAGTCGGATTGTGCTAATTCTTCGTTTTTCAGCAGGGGGACTGTCTACCCCACAGAAGTGACAGTCCAATGAAGAGGCTTCTGTGGCGGTACTGATAGCACTGGAGACGTCCAGTGACGTACCTGCAGTTTTACTGGAGACACTTCATCCTGGGCCCTGCTTCTAACTAGAACAAGAAATCCAGCCTTTGCATCGGTTTGCCCTCGGCAGATGTGAGCGGACGACGTCATTCTGTCGGTCGATCGTTCGATGGTTCCTTTAGAGTTGATGGCCACGCTGAACTTGATGGACCTCTTCTTCCTTTTTAGGTTTCATTACCTGTACCCTTAGGAAATGGAACCCTAGGCCGGCGTGTGGCACCGCTGTCAAGTCAGTACGCATATCCATAAGTGTGTCTCTTCCAGTGAGAGTCCGGGATGAGCCCGTAGAGTGCCTCCCGTGGACCCGTCGAACGGGTGTTTGTCGTTATCTCCCATGCCCGGAGATGTAAGTGCCCAGAGCGGGCGAAGGTGGCCTAGGCCGAGAGAATTCAGATTTTTGTCTCATCTTTGGAATTCCAAGCTGGCTTATGCCTTTACGTGACCGCAGCGGTCAAAGCAGCCAGCCATTTTGGCACGGCGTACGTGGCCGCAGCGGCCGAAGTTTGTTCAAGGTTCATTGGAACCTGTCGGACACTTAGGCGCACATACATCGTACACACTTCAACGAGGCAGGTCTTCCTAGGTCGTTGTAATGAGGTCTGGTTTCATCGGTTCCCGTCCCTTTGATTTGGTTCCCCTTTCACCCTTTCCCCTTCACACACTTCTTTTCCTCTTTCTTTTCATGTCTTCCCTTGCTTCATGTCCTTTCATCTCACTCCTTTCGTTCTTTTGCGCGTACAACGGTCCGGGCTTTAGTGTGTACGCGCACATCTACTTCCAACTCAGGTGTTAGGTCGCCCAGGTCTCGACAATGAGGTGAGTTTCATCGGTTGTCCCTGTGCACTTGGTTTCCCTTGTAGTCACAGGGATCCAGTCGGGTTGCGCTAACTTTTTCGCTTTTCAGCAGGGGGACTGTCTACCCCACAGAAGTGACAGTCCAATGAAGAGGCTTCTGTGGCGGTACTGATATCACTGGAGACGTCCAGTGACTTACCTGCAGCTTTACTGGAGACACTTCATCCTGGGCCCTGCTTCTAACTAGAACAAGAAATCCAGCCTTTGCATCGGTTTGCTCTTGGCAGATGTGAGCCGACGACGTCATTCTGTCGGTCGATCGTTCGATGGTTCCTTTAGAGTTGATGGCCACGCTGAACTTGATGGACCTCTTCTTCCTTTTTAGGTTTCCTTACCTGTACCCTTAGGAAATGGAACCCTAGGCCGGCGTGTGGCACCGCTGTCAAGTCAGTACGCATATCCATAAGTGTGTGTGTGTGTACACCCTGGACTCGCGAACAACCTGGTGGCTTCTCGATTTTATGAGCAGGGGGCGCGGCGACCGTTCACCTAGCCATGCTGAAAAAAATATATGGTGTAATGGTGTATGGTTGGATGAGATTCTAGACGCAATATCTTGCACTTGCTGTTTCACTCGGTTCTTCTGTTAAGGGCATTTCTTGCCATGTACCAGCAACCACAAGCACAGGACACTCCTGAGGAAGGGACACCTGTTGCATCAATCTTGGTTGGTAACGGACTGACAGCATCTTGGTTATGGTCGGACGACGATGGAACAGAACGTGCAGGAGATTGTTTGTTATCACGGACCTCAACAGAGGAATGAATGTCTCTTTTGGCACTTTGGTCAACTTTAGTAGGAATGCTTGCAACTTTTGTCCTGGTTTTGGCCGCAGTAGGCATAGCGGCATGACTCTTGGACGATCGCTGATCATTGTGCCAAACCGACAGGATGCGACCAAATGGAGCACTCTCAAAGATATCATGGATCTCAATTTGTCCTGGCAAGAAAAGAAGGAGGTTGGAACGAACGTAGACACTGAGTTCCAGTGCATTGCTGACACATTTCGAGACTTTGCCTCTTTCAAAGCGAGGTTGCAGGACATGTAATTTCTGGCCTCGCTCAATCTGGCAGTGAACGATGCACTCATGTTCAGGCAATATAGTAATAACATCGTTATCGTGCTGACAGGGAAAAGGTTTGGACGCCGTACGTTCGAGAAAAATCGTATGATGATCAAGAAGGTGTTTCTGCCTCATTAAAATGTCAAAAAGGTTAGAAGCTTCTTGCGTAGAAAGCTCAGCTTCAATAAGACAGATAGGGACGAGTTCGTCAAGAATGTCAACTGGAACATCCCTGTTGCCAATTTCGAAGCTAAAGACCTGCAATTGGCCAAATCTCCTACGTGACATACTATTGCCTGGTAGAGGGAAAAAACCACTAAGTCGGGCCCCTTGGCGTAGGCCTTTATTATGTGCTCCAACATGATGGTCTGTTTTGGTTTCTTTTACGTAGATGTTAGATGCTCTTTCAGTAGTATGGACATCAGGCTGTTTATAGTGGACAATTCTTTGTTGATCCTTATGGTCGACAAAAATGCCAGGTATCCTCGGTAGGAGATTGGGTGATGCAATAAGGGCAACAACTTTTTGATGGCCTTTGTCCTGCACGTGCACTATGGCAGACCGGATTTGTGTTGCTCCTCATACCTTCTGTAACGCATCACAGAGGTCAGTGTCAACTAATCCATCTTGCATCATGAGTGTACCATCGTCTTCAATTTGGTAAGCTTCATGGCGATCACTTCCTGTGGTGTGAGTGTCAACAGTCCAAAGAGCTTTGTTAGCTCCTGCAGCAAAGGAACATTGAAGACTACCTTCTTCTTTGCCAAAAGGAATCTTAATCTGCTCTTGGAAAATCCTCAATCTGAAGTTTTCAAGTTGGATTCCTTCCGTATAGATAACAAGGAGCAATCTTTTTTGAATATGATATGGAATTTCCATGTCAATGAGAATGGCTTGCAGCGGCCATCTTTCTTCCTGGGTGCAGGATCTGATGTCAAGGAAAGTGACAGTATCATAATCATAGAAAGAGGGAACTTCTCGAAATCGCATATTCCAAAAGAAAGGAATCACCCTTTGGAGATCTTGTTGAGCGAGAGAAGTGACCTCCTGGCTTAAGCAGGAGTAGATTGACGCAAGGGGATCTGCTGCTTTGTGAACATCCGACTCAGCAATACCAAAAGTGACACAACATCTATCAGTTGCACTAAGTTCAGTATGCAGGGGAGGATCTTGTGAGTAGACTCGAAATCGAAATACTCCTGGCACTGCAGTGATAGCAGCCTGAAGTTGCGTCGTAAGGAACTTGCTGGGACAGAGCCATGTTTCTGTGTACTCTAAACATGGCGAAAAGACTTCAAAGCAGTTCACATTGCGAGCTGCACTAAGTGCAATGAAGTACGTAGCCTTGGTGAAAGTACGTGAACGCCCTGTTTGCGCAAATTCAAAGCTTTTGTATTTGCTAATTCGTTGGATATGGGCACGGTACCGTCTCAAAGATGTGCAAACTCCAATGGTTAAATCAATACTCGTGGCATTGAAAGAACACTCATGGAAGAGAAAGACATGTCGAAGTTGACTTTCTGGGTGATAGAGCTGTAAAAGGTTATCTTGTAACCGGCTCTGAATTCCATAAATGATAATATCAACCGGGTGCTTGCCAGAAACAGCAGCATAGATGCTCTTAAACTCATCTTCACCAACCACGAAAAGATTGCTGCTGAAACGCTCTGTGTTGACCATGCTAGGAAATCGACAAAGAAAAATATGCGAGGTGAGACAGCCAAGGAAGATCCATGAAGCTGCGCAAAAATTCCCTTTGCCTCAAAAGACTCCAGTATATCATTATAGATAAACTGGGAAATAGTACAAAAAACTTCTTTAGACGACATGACGAAGAAAGGACACAAGGCAGGGAAGAAGACCAGAACAAAAGGTAATGTCTAAGGACACCCCCTTTTATGATCGGCAAGACAAACGAAACTCAGAGCAATGTCTAAGGACACCACTCGAGTAAGCTCGGGTAGAACAGTGACATTGACAGTCGAAACCTCAAACAGTGTCTAAGGACACCACTTGAGGAAGCTTGCGTGAGGTGACCAGCAAAACTTGAGATTAAGCAATGTCTAAGGACACCACTTGAAGGCCAAAGGGGTGAATGGAATTCAGAGACTCGAGCAATGTCCAAGGACACCACAAGAGCAAGTATGAGCACGAACAAAAAGCTCCTGACTCACCAGTTTGTCACTGAGAGCTTTGAGCCGAGACGTTCTTGAGCCAAAGGTGGCTACGGATGTTGTCTGGGGCCTCCAGCCGTGTTCAAGCCAATGAGCAGCAGGCTACTGTTCGGATTGCACGGGTCACACTTTACAGGAGGTCAAGTGGCAGCTCTGCCAGTGCTTGCCAGGGAGGTCCTCCCGGACAACGGGCCAAGCCCGGGGTCCAGCAGAGGCCGTGGAAC